GCCAGGCGGAGCGGAGAGCGCCGGAGTGGGACGGAGCCCGAGGGCGGAGCGCGCCGGCCGCGGTGAGTGGCGTGCGGGCTGGGGCCGGGGCCGGGGCGAGCGGGGCTGCTGGGGGCGCCGCCGCGGAGGCCGTGCCCGGCTGGGAGAGTTGGCGGAGCGGCCGGGCGGAGCGGCGGGAGGAGGGCTTCGTCCGGGGCGGGCGGGCGGGGAGCGCCGCGGACGCTTCGAGGGTCCCCGCCCCCGGCTCGGCTTCGGGCAGGGTGGCGGGGTCGAGCGGCTCCCCGCGCCCCCGGCCCGGCTTGGCGGCGGAGCGGGCGCGTTCGTGTCCCCGGGCCGCGCTGGAAGCCCCGGGCCAGGGCGGGGGCCGTTGGTGGAAGGCGCGGCGCGGCGGGTGGGGGCCGCGACCTGTCGCCGAGAGGCCGTCCAGGGCCCGGCGGGGCGTGCGGAGCCCCGCATTTGGGCGCGCTCTCTCTCGGGCTGGCCGCCGCGCGGGGCAGGGAGGGCGCCGTGCCCTGCGTGTGCCTGCCGGCGGGGGTGGGGGGGGAGCGGGACGCCCAGACGGGCGGGCCCTTCCCCGCCCCCGCCCCCGCAGGGCGGTTCCCAGCGCTCGCTCCATCGCGATTGCAGGTTGGCGCGCCCGTGCTTGGGCGGCTAGAAGCTGGAGGTACGGTCCGCGAGGGATCCCCGTGTTTGCCGAAGTATAAGAGGGAGATTCCCCGGTGGCGGGGAATCCCTAGCGGTGCAGAGGGGCCTGAGCGGTCGTAGTGGCTCTCAGCATGGGGTGGGGGGAGAGAAGGAAGAGAAGGGCCGAACCCCTGAGCGGCGGTGCTTCATGCTGCAGCATTTTGTTGCAGTGCACGCATCTGTTTCCTTTGCAGAAATAGGCCACCGGTCTAGACTTGTGGTGCCCACTTGCCCCTCCTTTGCACAAGGGGCACAACACGTATTAGCTACTTAGCACTCTGGCTTGGAAAGCCCGGCCCACATGCCAATTAATGTACAAGCATATTACGCATTTTTCATGGTGCATTTGTTGTGCGCCATTGCGCCTTCTCAGGGCGCATCTGTGCGACAGAAAACCCGTGTGGGCACTTGCTGCTCTTCCCTGTTTCCACTTGTGCTGCACGTCCATTACTAAAGTTGTGAAGCAGCAGTTTCTGCAGGCTGATGGGGAAAGGGTATAAAGTCCCATGGCCCCGTACAGCTCCCCCCCGCCCCGAAGCTCAGCTTCTTTTCTTCCCAGCTGAATGGGAAGCTACTTGACTGCTCTCACCTCTGGGCAGATGTAGGTTGGGGTTCTGCTTTGCTACTCTGCTCGGTCCCCCCCCCAGCAAAAGCCCCGAGCTGCGGTTTGCATCTGGATTTAATTTGCATGAAGCACTGCCGAAAGCAGGCATGCAAAATCCAGCCAGTGGCTTGCCGCATAGAACCCATGTGCCTGCCAGCCATGGCTTGGGCGTGCTTTGCCTGGTGGGCACACCTTTCAGCCCTTTCGGGCGCTCCACGGAGCCAGATGGGGGCATGACGCACCCTCCTTCCCTGCACCCGAGCAGCATAAGGCCTGAGGTTCCTTGGGGGGCGGCATGATGGCGGGGCATATTGCCAGCCCGCTTCTGCTTTGTGTGGCCCTGCCAGTTGCACCTCCGTCCTTCCGCAAGGGAGCCGGAAGCCTGCAGGGGCGGCTGTGCTGGGGCTGATAGCTGCGGCTCCGCCCTGGGTTGACTCACCCGCCGTGCTGCGGTGCTCCGCTCCACATGGCCCCAGTGCCTGCTCGCCATGCTCCTCGCCAGCAGAAGGCCAGTCACGTCCCGGAGACCGGGGGACGCATCCCGTCTTCTTGACTCGCCCCCAGCGTCCCTTCTGGAGGGAGACCCGCGTTTCTTCAAATCCAGCTGAGATTGCCAGAGAGGCGGGACCTTTTCCGACATGCAGCATGGATGGGGAATGGGGATAGAGGAGGAGCCACGGGAAGAGCGAACCTGGGGACCTGCTGTGGAAGTGTGGCATGGAAGCAGCCTGGGGAGACGGGTCTAAGAGCCTCAACGTTGTCCCCGCAGCAGTGGCTCCCAAAACCACCTGGGGAAAGGTGTGGGCGGGGGAGCGTCCAGGTGCCCAGGACTCACCTGCCCTGCCCTGCGAGGCTTCCTTGCTTCATTTCCACCTTTGGTGGGAAAGCCCCTCCCTGATTTTTCCCAGGGGAAGAGCAGGTGAAAAGAACCACAGAATCATGATGGGCAGGAGGAAGGCTGGCTGTAGGATGGATTAAAAAGTTCTGGGGATCCTGGACTGTTCCCCATTCCTCAGACTTCTCTTCTGAGATGGCTTTGCTTTGTTCCTTCATCTACTTACTGACCTTATCTTGTGCCTTTTCCTCCTGCAAGGGATCAAGGTGGCTTGCGCACCTCTCTCTTTATCCCCACAAGAGCCCTGCGAGGTGGGTCTGGCTGAGGGTCAGTGCCTGCCCCAAAGTCATCCAGGGAGGCTCATGGTGAAGTGGGGAAAGGAGTCCCAGCCTCCCAAGACCAGCACTTCACGCTTATTTATGATACTGACTTTCTACACTGGCCTCATTTACTGTATACTCCTCCCTCCCCCTCTCCCCCGTCTGTCTGTCTGTCTGTCTGTCTCTCTGTGATGCATTTGTATCCTGTCTTCAGGGAGTGAAAAGCACCCACAAATGACACACCTACCTTTTCATACAGCTTTGGGGATGGGACCCACAATTAGGCAATACATTCATTTATTAGGACCAACCAACAATCTTTTGTGGCAATTTGGTCAGTCCTAATAAAAGTCTTATTAAACTTGGAGCTGGTGTTTGTGTGTGTGTGTGTGTTTAATGCAGAGTTTGTGAAACAAAGGAGAAGTTCCCAAAAGGAAGGGAAGAAGGACGCCTGCTGAAAACTTGCAGCAAGACTGGTGCGTGTGTCTGTGCCTGCTAAAAGTAGGGTCTCCTCCTCCCTCGTCGTCCTCCACTGAGGAGGGCCGGCCAGCCTCCAGGAAGAAGCATCTTTCCTTTGAAGATGTGGGCCCCCAGAATCCTTGCCCTGCTCCCGCAAGGCCGAAACGCATTAATTCAAAGCTCCCTTTGTGTTAATTTGAGAAGCTCTTCCCCTGGTATGCTTTGTCTGAGCTTCTTGCTCAACTGTCAGTATTTACTTCTGTGAACTCTCCGCCGTGAGATGCCGCGGTGCCTGAGGAGGCCTTCCTGAATGGCCCGATTCATAAGATCCCGGTTCGCAACCGGTCTCCTGCCTCACGACTCCCGGGCAGCGACTCCCATCCATAGATGCATCCTTTGTTGAGCCGCGGCGGCAAGACGAGGGCACTATTCCAATCTGGGGGAAAGAGGGAAGTGCTCCCGGGTCGCTGCAGGAAGGAGGACAATTGATGTGCTGACAGCAGATCTGATCTGGGTTTCTCTGGAGCCCAGAGGCTAAATCAATGTGTTGAGGAGTCTGGCCGTGTGTTGGGGAGCGCTGTGGCCACCCCCTCGGACCAGGATGGTCAGGGAGGACGAGGCCCCATTGGCAGCTCTTGCAGCTTGGCACCCCCTTTCTCTGCACCTCCTTCTGAAGAAGCATTGGAGAGCCTCTGGCTTTCCTGCGGGTTGTCAGAATGGGCACTATCAGAGATGATTCATATGCTGAAGGTCAGAGGCCAGCCAGCACATGCTAGGCAAGTTCATTCCAGAAAATGAGCTTGCGGGCCTGGACGTATAGCCTTAAACAAGTCCTTCGGATGGACACCCTCTGGAAAGTTTATCTGTGGTCCGGAACATCTACTCTAGAGTCTCCCCTGTGCTTCAGAATTATTGATCTATTCCCAGGCAAATACCACTGAATTACAAGAGCAAACTTCTGTTAATACGTTGCATAATCTCAGTGGAATGTGGGTGTGCGGCCCAACCGGCTTCCTGTTTTTGCTCATTTCTGCAGATAAAGTCTCAGACATACAACAGGCATCTAGGATATTAACTTCTTGGGGGAAACTTTACTCAGGAGAACCAGCTCTGATATATAAAGGAGATAACTCTTTTTTTTTTCTTAAAAAGGGAAAATGAGAATATAGTTGGCATGAAGTGACCTGGGAAGTCACTGGGGTCGCATTGTGCAGCTCAGAGAAATGTTCCAGTGCAAAGATTTGTGGCTGTGTGTTTCTCCGTGGCTGGTTCTCCGCGTGCTCAGGGCAGTGCTCTGTCCACAGTGGGGACTCTCACCGTGCAGACCATTCTCATGGGCTGGGAACCTTGTGCACAAAGCGGCAGATTTGGGCGTGCTGGGTCTGGTTAAGAAAGGGAAACTGCAGTGGGCAGGACTGCCACCCACCTTTCTTCTCCTTTGCACAGCTGGCCTGTTTCCCCTCTTGAGCTTTGATGGACGGCTGTCAATCGCATTGTGCACAACCTCAGAGATGCTCTTGAGGTTCTGTTTGGCTACAGCAAGCAGACTGCTTAGGAGTGCGCGTGGAAGGTCAGGAGACAAGGATGCGAGTGATGGGGTGCTGGGGAATTCTCTCTGCACGTATTGATCTCGAAGGCAGGTGGAGCCTCGGAAGCATCTTTGCAGTGGAGAAAAGCCGAAACGTGTTTGGGGTGTTCTGGCTTGGGAAGAAAAGGCCATTAATGGGGGTGCATGTGCGTCAGGCAGGCTTGCTTGCTTGCGCACAGAGGAGACATATCCTAAAATTATGCTGCGGAATTAAATGACAGCTGGGGTTCGTTGCTGCCTCTTTGCTTTGCTGAGGGTGGAGGAGGGTGCCGGTGTCTTTTCCGGGGCTTCCCATGGAATAGCACCCCTCCTTTATCACCCATCCCGTTCCGCTTCCACTGGCTGCCAGGATGTTTCTGAGCCTCGTTCAAGGTGCTGCTTTGGACTTGAAAAGCCCCCCATGGATTAGGATTCAGCACCTCGCTCAGGTCAGCCCTGGTCTGCAGCAACGGCATGTAAGACCTCTGAACAAAGTGTAGTCTAGTGCAGCATTTTGGGAGTACAACGTCAGCCAAGACCCTCCTCTGAAGGAGGCTCTGGAAGGTGCTGGAGGGGCGACCCCTCCCCAATTA